TATATATATATATATATATATCTGTCATGTGTTCATTTTAACCATTAGAAAGTGAATGTTCTATCATCTAGAACAAACAGTTAATGTGATTGAATATTGGAAGAAATTGGATTGTTATTTGGAACGTTTGCCTTATAAATAGATGTTTCAATACTTTAGATGCCTGAGTTAGAGTTAGTAAGTTTTGGGTACTCGTAAGTTTCATGCCTACTTAATTTTTTGTAGGAGGAGATCAAGAACTTCTTAATATGTACTTCAAGACCTGGAGACTAGATATTTCTTGTAGACTACCTTTTATCTATAACCTCATGGCTAATGTCACTTATACATATAAACCTGCCTTCAAGCAGTAAGTACCCCTAACATTGTTTTTCTGTTTCTTTACAATATTCACACAGTTTTCTTTCTTTTGCTTTTTTATAGCACCCATTTTTCTTGTGTAATAACTGAGAAAAAATAATCTACTTAGTTCATGATTAGATAATTTATTCCATAGTAAAACCAAAAATATAGAAATGCATTGAAAACTATTAACATGTAAATGACAACTTGGAATGACTATTATCTACATCTCTAAAAATACTACTGTAGCAATGGCCCTAAGCTCCTTCACTAATATAAACGAAACCTGACTGTATATATCAAAATGAAAAATAACATAAAATTAGTGAAGCTAATTTTGTATGTTTAACAAACTATTGAGGAATGTTTAATGTCGTAAATTAAAACCTAAGAAAACTATAATGATTAGAATGTAGTGAATAATTATTTGGTACCCTCACTATTAATGATATATTCAGCAGATATCCCATTAATATCTCAAAAGATTCAACCAATTTAAAAAACTTAGGTTAGTCCTAAGAACTTATTCTAAGCTAATAATGTAAAATAATCGTCATAACAGTAAAAGTTAATAATAAGAATTGGATTTATTTTAAGCATCAAAATCAATAATAATAAAACTAAGTTAAAAGAAAAATGGACTAAGTTATTACTTAGTTTGCTCCAAAGTTCCATGTAGCTTACCAATATATGACCACCTTGATAACTTATAAATGTTCACGTATTTGCAGTAGTACACATCTAACAGTAAAAATGGACTGAAAACACAAAATATTTTAAAAACTAGAAATAATAGAACATTAACCTTCCCCCCCTTACAAATAATTTTACCCGTGTCCATGTACTGATGTGTTATGAAAGTCTGGGCTAAGTTACATTCACAGTGTGAATATATGCAAATATATATATAGAATATAAATATGAAATTCTTTTCAATTGTATGTTTTTTTTTATATATATACACTTTACACATAAAAAGTTGGAGGGGGTTCCGAGACAAAATTCTAGTCTCAATCCTGTATTGTCTAATCTGCTTTGATGCTCACACTAAACCAATGTGGTATCTGAGGCTCCTTTTAACTAGCTTGTTGTTGGACATTCAACCAGTTGCATAATGTCTCTTGATGCCAATGGAATCTGAACCCTTCAAAAATTCACGAACTCCTTAAAGTTCAGTGGCAGATGGTCAGAAAGGTCATCATAGAAGTAGGTTTTAAATCTTTTGCCGTCTGTATTAACAGTGTGTGCTTTTTACCCATTTGTTTTAATTGCATAGAATATACTTTTTTTTTCCATCAGATATTATTTTGATGTGTAAAATCATTTAAATGGAACCAAAATTGGACAGAGATAAATATGATCTTAAAAAAGCTAATGTTGGGCAGGCATATGACAAAATCATTAAAGTTGTTTTCAGTAATTAAAGACCTTTTGTTGCAAATGAAAACATATAACAAGTGTGTTAAATATCAAAGATACTAAAAATTGTTTTCAGTTTCATAAATTAAGCTGTACACATCAAATAAGTTATATTCTCATTTTGTTGTAAACAAAAGAATCTCGTCATGTATTACAATAAAGGTTTTATAGATCTCGTAAGTTATTACATTCGTTTTATAATATTCTTGTTTAGCACATATTGTCAAGTTTAATTGCTTGTTTTTAACAAAATCTAAAAAGTTTTATTTCAGTTAAATTTTATTATAAAACATTTTTTTACTTAAATGCAAGTCAGAGGTTCTGTTCAGAAGATTTCATAAAAGAAAAAGAATTACATCCAACTTTTGTGTCTTACTGATCTAATGAATTATCTTTCATTACATTATCATGTTCCTTTATTGGCAAAACTACTGAAGAAATAGTTTTCACAATGTATACAAATTCTAGCTTGCATCAGTTTGCTTTAGAATTGAAAAAAATCTAGTGGTATAGACAGAGCTTCATGCATGAGCATACGTAATATCCCATATCTTTCTTTTATAAGACCGTTTGTAAATGGTTGGTCAGTAATTTGCCCAACTGGAAACTGATCTGTCCAAATATTGCATGAATAGTTAATAGTTTATTTTTAACTTAACTGTTTTAATCATTGCAATTATAAATGCTTGAATGAAGTTTATGTAATTATTATATTTGGAACATGGTAAGTCCACTGTTCACTAATCATCTTAAATTGCACAAGAAAGCATGCAAAGCCCTGGCCATTATGGGCCAGGACCAGCCAAAAGATTCACTTGCTGGTCTCATCCCTGTAAATAACATTGTTTTACTTATGTTTGATTTTGTGATTACTCCAAGAGGAAAGATGTAATATAATGTAATCTGCTAAACTAAATATACAGCCACCCATAACATTATTTCAGAGATCCAAATTCAGGTTTGATGTGGCTTAGATTACGTTTGTATTCATCATTAAATTTTGATACTTACAACTAACTTTTTGATTAGTTTTTTGCTATATTAAATCAAGAGTACTGCAGCCAACTTTTCCTATCAAAATAAGGTGTGAAACTTTGTGCCTTGTAATTGTATCTGTATTAAGTCTTGAATTTTCCTGTGTAGATAGTTCTAAGAATATACTTACCTGAAAAGTGTTTAAAACCCATACTTTAAAATGTTTTCTTCTCCATCCTATTATCATATTTTGGTAAAATTATTTACACAGTGCTTTAATATTGCATATTTACCTGTAAGCAGAAAGTTACCCAAGCTTCTTTCATTGTGTTCATTAGGTTTGGAAGACATGTGAGAATAGTTAACTTTTTTGGTTCTTACAAACTGTGGAATGTCCAGTTTGATTCAAGCACTGGTGAACTAGTACCATCAGCTAATATCCACCCAACTTATACCCAGTTTGTACAGTTCTGGCTTGGTATCTTTTCACATCGAGTTTTGCCACTATTTCCTGAGGTTAGTCCTCCATATAATGAATTTTAAGGCATTTTTAGATTCTTCAGAAGGAAGGCATACTTGCTGGTAATTTGAAACACAGCCCATCTTCAAATCAATTGCTGAAATAAAATAATGTTCTTTAAACTCTAGAAATGATATTGGTTAATACTAAGATAAAGTAAAAGAAAATATTAGCACATTAGTAAGAAAATTTGAATAGTGAAAAATCACAAAACTTTCAAAACAAGTAATTCACACAAAGAAAAGGCTCCCCCCCTTACAATTTTACAAAACATTCCTTACTCATATTCAAGAAATAACGAAAATAATTTTTCAATATAGTTCTTCATATGAGAGTAAAGAATGCTATTATTAAGTAAGCTACTATATGCCAATAAGTATCCAGTTTTCTTAGACTTTTAGGGTCAAAAGTTTTTACTCAAATTATTCAATGTATATATATATAATCAAAGATTTTCTTAAAAGACTGATCTTTATTTCTTTATAAAGTCAAATTGTATCATATCTTGATGATTGTTTTTGATCACGTTATGACTTTCATTCTTCCCACTTGGCTCATTATTTACCTTGATTTGATGAAAGCTCTCTGAAGTAGTCATATTCTTACAATAACATTTATATCTAGCACTTTTTATATATAGTTCCTTCTGAATAATAAAACACGATAATATAGTTCAAAAAGTTTGATTTATAATATGATTAGCAGGTGTTAAGTTTAATCAGTCAGTTAGAGAATATTAGTCGTATTATGTGATAAGGATAAAAAAACCACTTAGGTAAAAATTAAATTTTTTACATGCCCTCTCTTTTTTTGGGGACTTTGTTCTTCATATGATGATTCCCAAATAAAATGCTGATAGGATTAGAAAGTTAACTAAAAATAAACATACTTTTGAATTTTTTAACATGTTCACTGCCATGTACCCCACTGGTGGGTCACAGACAGTTATGTTTCAATGCCAAATTTATCTTGTGGCATATGAGTTTAAGACACTGTGGCTGATCCTTGGCACCTCTTGAATATTTAATTTTTTATACTTAATTTATTTGCAGCAATGAACATGTTAAATTCTATTCTCTATTGTCTAGTTGAAGAGCATGAATTTTGATAACAAGATTAATTTATGTATCCTCCTCAGAATGTTCAGAAATATGTTCAAGATAGCCCATACATTAGTCTTCAGGATCTTTTGAAGTTCTTTCCATCTCCAACAGCAAACAACTCACTTGACCAGTTCCCACTTCCTCCTTCCTTTCGTGTCTATCCAGATACACCCTCTGAAACAGATGGGGAAAGCTCCAGGGAGAGTTCTCGTAAATCATCTCGAGAAGAATCTCCTAAAATTTTTCAAGAACTGATAAAAACACCAAAAGAAGAGAATATTATTGAAGGAAAAATAATGGGCACTAAACCTTCAACAGATGCTAATGAGACTGTGATTGAAGAAGGATCAAAAGGAGCAGTTTTAAAGAGTAAAAAAATGAGAAAACAATCAAAGAACATGAAGAAAGAATTAAGAAAGGAAAAACATGAGGCAGCTAGCATACCTGGTGCAGAGTATGATGATTTTCGGGGAATGTTTGCCTGGGAACAGGGTCATATTGATTACCTTGGACATGATAGCTCAGAGAATATGATTAAAAGGTTAGATTTTTTGTTGAAATAAAAAGTATTAGAAAAATCTCCAGTTAAAAAATTTACTCACTAATAGGAAGTAGCTTAGCTTGTAGTTTTAGCTTTGTTTACAGTAGATGTGGCTGATCTTGGAAATGTGTAAATGAATGAAGAAGTGTTTTGATTATTTACTCACACTGCTTATGAGAAAAAAGTCCGTTTTTTTGTGATTTGTTTTGGTCTTTAGAGATTTTATAAAGAAAAATGATGTGAATTATAAAAAATTAATTTTACACATTTTATTTAAACAAGGTTTATGGCTACAGGAAGAGAATTTTCTTGAGACTCTTTCCACAAACTGTAGGATCAGAATAAAGATCAGGTTTTAGATCTTTGGCACATACATTTATTTATTGTTAATTAACTAGACTAGCTCATAGTCTTTACCAGCTCAAATGTTTGTTTTGTTTTTAAATTTTGTTTTGTAGGATATCTGATTCTCGGAATATGGTTTACTTCATATCATTGAAACAAACTGTTGCATTAACTTTATTACTAAGTTTATTCAAATGTATTTTTAGCAAAATACTTACTGCAGAACACATTTTTGTTAAAGCTTCTTCCCGCTTATGCATCAGTGATTCCATACTTATATGTAGTTCAAAACCTTATGGTTAGATGAGTGAGAGGTGTCTTATTTATTTTGTCTTCCCCCTTTTTTTCATATGAAGATAACAAGGACAGAGAACATGAGTTACCTTAAAGGGATAAAATTAATATGCATTTCTGAATTACAAGATGTTCAGTATATCTGCCATAATATGGGCAACAAAACCAATTTGAAAAGTAAAATATTTCAACAGTCTTTCTGACAAACAGTTTGCTAACAATTTAGTCTTATATGAATAATGTTACAGAGTTTGTCAGAAATTATGACCTTGTTAGTGCCAATATTTTACTTTAGAGTTTATGGTAAACCATAATCATTTGTCAAAATCCTCTAAAAAATGCTTCATTGATGTCTACTTTTTTGTGTTTTAAATTTCCTATTTGTCATTGAATTATGAATAATCCTGTAATACTATTCTGATTATATATCTTTTTCTCTACAAATTTGATTTTATGACAAATTTGTTTGGATTCCCTGTTTGTCAAATGGATAACATCTTGGTACATGATTTGTAGTTTCTCTTTTACCAACTCCAAGCTATCTAGTGAGCAAGTCTTGATATCCTTGTCTATAATCAGGATAAGTAAGTTAAACAATCTTGAATGTTGTGGTAAATTATGTGTTCTTATATGAAACTATACCAGTAAATAAGTTGCGTGCCAAACTTTACAAAACAAGTTTTTCAAATGCAAAAATGTACCCTTCTACAGTAAATTTTTTGTCTTATTTTAGTCAGTTGTGGGTTTCTGTATTCATATATCTTTATTTGCATACGAAATTTTAATCTTAATGTATAAAATAATTTTTATTGGATTTTTTTTTTGCTTCTTTTCATAAAGTAATCTTATTGTGATAATTTGTTTTTTAAAAATGTTTTTAAAAAACTAGTTTGAAATTTCACCACTGAAATAAAAACCCAACATGGTTTTCTCTTGAACCTTACATTGAAAACTATTAATTTTAATACATAATCATGTCAGTTTATTCAGCATCCTAACTAGGAGAATGAAGATGAGAAATTAAGAGGTGAATACAAACAAAATTATGAAAAAAAAATCACATAAAATAATGAAAATATAAGAGATATATGAGCTTAATATAGGTATATAAAAAATATGTTTTTAAAATGCTTTCAACATTTTCGTGAAACAACTAATTATTTTTTAAGCACTTACAGTAGATTGTGATATGAGATAACATTTTTTGTCATGGTTAGTAGCCTTTACAATCACCTATGTATAATTATTAAAAGCAGGTTAGTGATAAAATGTAGGGTATAAACTAATTATTAATGAGTACCTGATAGTAACAAAAGTAACTCATTAATAATTAGACTTACATGATCATATAGGCTACTAACCATGACAACCACTGTTTGTTTGTTTTTTTGTTACCCTATGACATTTTTCAATAATTTTTTTATATTAGTTTTTCATTGAAATGTTTATTTACAAACTGTTGTTTTTTCGTTTTTGTTATATTACAGATTTTAAAATATTATACAACCATTTCAGGATGACTATTTTGAAACATAAAAGTAATATTTTGCAGGAGAACAGTACAAATCTGCTTTGTGATAATTTTCTATACATGCTGTAGTTTCTATGAAAATAGGTTTAGAATAAAGTTCATGTAAAACTATGTGTAGCATTAAAAACAGTGTATACAGTTGCCTTTTTTTTGTTGTTGTTGTTTTGTTTTCTCTGCAATTAATGTAAGATGTGGTTGTAACACTATAATGTGAAAACTAGCTAGACTGTAATATAATGTGGGCCTCAAAAATATATGCTCTATAAATAAAGGCCTGTATATCATACTAGATAGTGTGAAGAAGAAAGACTAATTTGGAACAACAGAGTTTATAGCCAGTTATCTAATGCTTTTGATGAAATTAAATAATAACTTTTTGTGTAAGCCATATACATAGTAAGAGAAAAACATGTGTTAGATACACTTGGCTTTTATGGTATTTATTATTCATGTAAGTTTGATACTTCTTGCAGTATTATTCATAATAATGTACTTACAAATTATCACATAACAACAATCACTTTCACTCTTCACTAATAATCTTAGCTGCAATAGACTAGAAAGTCCAGTGCTGTGAAATGTTTAGATTATAAAAATATTTTTGTCGTGTATTTTCTTACTCAGTGATAAAATCTTTATTTTTAAAACAAAGATGATTGCTCAGAGGCATGTTTGAGGAGTAGGAAAAAATATGATTATTATATTAAAGTGTGTATTGCAAAAATGACTTTCAGCAACTCAAGCTTTTGAGATGCATATATGATTTAAATATATCAGTATTTTATGTAATGAAAATTATATGCTCTACAACTGTTTGTTACTTTCTTACTGCTATGTTTTGTAAATATGTATTAATCATTCTAGCCTGACCATAGTCAGTAATATCCGTAATCTAGATATTATTTGATAAGGTAAAGGAATAGCATAGCTGCTAAAAGTAATTGTAAAGTTGGTAATACTACAACTTTAACTTTAATTTTCAAATGTATTTGAAATTGTGAGGATTTTTCTTTTGAGAAAGAGAGAGAGAAAGAAAGCAAGTGTAGTATTTTAGCTCCTTCAAAAATATTTGCATATGTAAAGCTTGAGAACTGTTTTCAGTTAATGTGATAATTTACCAGAAAGTTTTGTGAAAAATAAAACTAGTTGTGAAAAACTTGTATCATGTGTCTAGATTTACATGATAGTTGTTGTATAACATAATTGTAAGATCACTTTTCTTTTTACCAAATAAAATGGGTTCTTCACCTATGTGTAATTTCTTACAAGAAACTGAAAAATACAGTTTTTAATTCAAGTGGATAAGAACCTTGAATAAAGGCGAAGTACAGTATTCAGAGGTGCAAAACTACTTTTATGAATATTTTTGGCTTTTTTTTTCTTTTTATTACAAAAGATTTTATTTAAATTTATAATGAGAAAGAAGTGCTTTCTCTGTTTAGAATTGTGAATGTGCATTTCTCTAAACTAATCAGGAAGATGATATAGCTTAAAACCCAGTGTCATTGTACCGACAAAAAATTATTTTGTTTTATCTACTTTGTGTTCCAAGAGGTTGTGTGAAAATAAATGAAAATGGATACTTTATAATTTGGAAAAACAGGTGAATGGCTTATCTAACTGGGAAGGTCTGTTGAATTGGTAGATTGAAAGTAGAATGAAATTTATTTAAATTTAAAGAAACTGTGTTCTAGAAAGAACTTAAATACTTTGGGCTCTGGTAAAAATGGAAAACAGTAACACACAGTCAGCTGATAAACGTTATAGAGACAATGACAAGGATGAGACTTACAGCAAAGATTGGCTCCCATTATCTGCTCAATTTTTCCCTTAACCATGTGAGGCCAGCGAAGTTGAGGTTAAACTGGATAGACAGTATATCCCCAACACAATATGGTTCTTACTTTTGCTAGTACCTCTAAAAACCAGGGCACATTACATATTGACCCATCTTATGATTTTTGCCCCGGTGTTGGATGTTTGTATTGTGGCCACTATATTTTATTTTTTGTTATAAATTTGCATTTGATTAGATTTCAACTAAGGTTTGGATATGCTGATAAAGATTCGTGCTATCCTTCCTTTGGATGTATTCTCTTTTTTAATTTTTAACATTCCTAAACGATATATATATATTTACTTAAAATAAATTCACAAAACTAGAAATTAGGTTTTCAATGTGAGATCTTTACCCTGGTTGTAGCTTTACATATCTGACAAGTTTTGGCACAGCTCAGGCACTATGAAGTATGTCACCACACAACTGGTCTTATCTGACAAAAAGGTATTTATGTTCCCACAACCAACGAGCACATACATCAGAGTTAAGGCAAGTATTCGTTCCCTCATAAATAGGCACTTTTGGGACTATAGTGGTGGTAGGGAAGCAAGCATTTGCTGAAATATAGATCCAGTGAAGGAATAAATCAAATGTTTGTGGGCTTTTGCTCCAGTGTGTTAATGAAACTGCCTCCATAAGAGTTGTCTGTCAGTTACATGTGTGATATAGTGGTGAATCAACATGTAATATCACACTTCATTCCAAGCAATTCCAGTAACCTCTAATGCAACTTCAAATGGTTATATTCCTTATGCAGGAACATGGGATAGTAGAGAAGAGTCATTATGGTAAAAAAGTGGCCTGAACATCCCAAAACTCACTGGGGTTGTCTTCATTGGAATTCCAAATGGCTGGTGCTCGTGGATATGCCTCAGATTTGGAAAGCACTATGTTTAATCATCAAGGGCGAAAGAGAGTGGCAAGAAAACTTGTTGGACGAAGTTCATTGCAGCCTTGTTAGGCAGAGCAGGTTCATCTCTTACAATCCAATAGAATTAGGAACTAGTCAGGAGCCTTCAAGGCACATTGAAGACACTCCAGTATCACATCTGACAGCTTAGAACACAATGGGATGTGGCTTAGGACAGAACGAGAATGCCGAAAATGCTTTCAAAGGATGATGAAAACACTGGATCAAGAAGACTCTTCTTCTAGACCTTGCCATATTCTCAAACCAAATCCTCACTGCTACCATACATTCCTTTATCTCTATTGTAAGTTTCATGTAGTTTCAGTTCAATATGTTACTTTTTAATTAGTTTGTGATATTTAGGTCTATAGATTTTCACTAGAAAAGCCAAAAATTCTCGCAAAATTTAGTGTCAGAACTGTTAGGTGAAGACTAAATTTCAGATAAAACTTATTTATCTACAAGTATCAGATAGCTAGACACACTAACAACAGTACATTTGCTCAGGAAATATAGCAATATATCTTGACTGAGTTTTCTTGGTGTATGTGAAATATCAAGACTGGACAAATTTAACAAAAGTAAACAATCTTTACTACAGAAAAACCTTAGAATACATAATTACACAGACAGAATGACAGTCGAATCCTTACAGATTAATGTTGCTTACTCTCACAGCTTTCATATTCTCGGGACTGATATCTGTAAACACGATGATTTCCTAAAAGGAATGGACTAAGAAAGCTGGCCTAAATTCAACAGGTAAACTTGGTTACTTTGTCCATTCGACAGCATCACCTCATGATCTTTGTTTACTGACAGCATTGGTCAGCTGTCACATTTAGACATCAACTTGCCAGCAGAGAATGTAAGTCTCCAATTCTTTCAACCTGTATGCTTCATATTACTTTAATGTCCTCTATGGCAAAATTGACATTATCTACTACAGAGAAGAAAGAAACAAAGCAATCTCAATGACTTTCTGAACCACATATCTACGCCAAACCACATACAAACTAAAGAAACGAAAAATTGTTTAATTCCTTTTTAAATAAAACCATGTAGAAAACGTGATTGCATATCACACTCCTCCCAGGCCTGGTATGACATGGTGATTAAGGCACTCGACTCGCAATTTGCGGGTCGCGTATTCGAATCCCCGCTACACAAACATATTTGCACGTTCCGCCGTAGGGGCATTATAATGTTACAATCAATCCTACTATTCGTTGGTCAAAGAGTAATTCAAGAGTTGGCGGTGGATGGTGATGGTTGCCTTCCTTCTAGTCTATCATTGCTAAACAACAATAAAAAATCAGCTTTAAAACCATTAACCTTTAAACTCGCAACATGGCCAAGGAACAGCTTAACTTTTCTTTGTTCCTAAGAGCATGGACTTCACAAACCTTTTAACAATGAATCATAATTATGCTAAAAGAAACACCCTTTAAATGAAATACAACAAGAAAAGTATCATTTAACTGTAATTTAATAAAGATGTGGCATACTCTTTAACATTAATAAAGTAATGTACAAATCAAACTCACGTAAACATCAACTAAAATAAAGAAATAATAAAAATGCAGAACTACATCCTTCACTTTAAAGATGAACACAAACAAAAATTAATCACAGAACTTGAAAAGGAAAAACAAACAGAACAAAAAAAAACCATTTAAGAAAGAAATGTAATTTTCAGCTTTAACAATGGTAGCATTTCTATTAT